TGTTGCAATATTCTTGCATCCCTGACATAAATCCCAGTCGATCCTTGTAAATGACCCTGTTAATGTGCTGTTGAAATCTGCTGGCAATATTTCATTGATTTTTGCATCTAGGTTCATCAGGGACATTGGCCTCTTTTTTATTTTCTTGTGGCATCTCTGGCTGTATACTCAGAGTAATACCAGCCTCATTAAATCAACTTGGAAGTAAGTTTTCCTTCTTTTTCAAAATTTTGAGGGGTTTGAGAAGCATTCATGTCTGTTCCTTTCCTAAATGTCTAATAAAATCAAGCAGTGAACCTGTGAAGTTCTGGGCTTTTCATGGATGGGAGGCATTTTTATTACTGATTGCATCTCTGCTCCTGATTGGGCTGCTCACATTTTTACATCTTCATATTTTAATCTTAGTAGGTTATACATATCTAGGGATTTGTCCATCCTCTGGGGTGTCCAACTGGTTGATGTGTACATTGTTCACAATCTTATCATCGTTTGTACTTCTGTGTTACCAGGTGTAATAGCTCCGCTTTCATTTCTATTTGTCTGAGTTTTCTGGATTTGTTGTAATCTCAAGTTTTGTTGTTTATCTTTTCAAAAAACCAACCGATAGGTTCACTGATTATCTCTAGTGCTATTAGTCTCTATTTCATTTATTTCTGCACTAATCTTTATTATTTCTTTCCTTATGGTAACTTTGGGCATAGTTTGTTCTTCTTTATCTGATTGCTTTGGACTCGAGTTTGCTATTGGTGACCTTCCTTTTTGATGTAGGCCTTTATTGCTACCAAATTTCCTCTTAAAACTAATTTTAAGGGGCTGGGGATTTAGCTCAGCAGCAAAAGGGCATGCCTGGCAAGCGCAAGGTCGTGAGTTCGGTTCCCGGTACCGGAGAAAAAATTAAAAAAAAAAAACTAATTTTGATGCATCGGATAAATTTTGGTGCATTGTGGCTTTTTTTCATTTTGATTTGTCTTAAAAATATTTTTTAAAAGTTGTATTTTAATTTTTTCATTTACCTTGTGATCATTCTGGAGTATACTGTTTAATTTCCATATATTTGTGAGTTTTCTGCAGTTCCTCCTGTCATTGGTTTCTAGTTTCATAGCACTGTGGTAAAAAATTATATATTTGATATTATTTTCATCTTCTTAAATTCATTAAGATTTATTTTGTGGCCTAACAGATTAACATGAGATTTTTCCTAGATTTAATTCTGAATGTGCTGAGGAGATACATTCTGCTCCCATTGCATTGAGTGATCTGTATGTATCTATTTGTCTTTGACCTTCCTATATGTAAATATTTCTTTCTCTAAATCTAGGCAGTTTTCTGCTGTTATTTCCATCTTTTTACTCCTTTATCCTTCACAAATTCCTGTAGCTCAAATATTTGCTCATTTGATGCTGCCCCGGACATCCAGAAGCTTTCTCCATTATTTTTCCACCTGACTATATTTTCAAATTGTCTGCCTTCCAGCCCACAGATTCTCTCTTCAGCCAGAGCAATTCTGTTGCTGATGTTCTCTGCTGCATTTTCCATTTCACTTGTCTTTTCAAGCTTCACAATTTGTTTGATTTTTTTCTATAATTTCAATATCTTTAATTTTTTCATCCTGGAGATGTATTGTCTTCTTGATATCATTGAATTGCTTCTCTATTTTCTTCAATTTCAAGAGGCTTCCTTTTAAAAATATTTTTGAATTCTTTGGCAGGAACCCATGTATCTCCATTGCTTTGGTGTCCCCAACCAGATCACTGTGTTCTCTTTGTGATGTTATGTCGACTTGGTTTTTTGTGGTTTTTTGTTCCTTAAGTTGATGGATACACTTTTAACACAGTAGGGCTTGTTCTAGTTACAGACTGACTTTGTCTAGGAATCCCGTTAGCTCCCCTTTCTAAAGAGTCTGGGCAGGCCATCTGCTGGGCTCAAAGGGCAAACTTGCTTCCGGAGTCCCTGGACAGACTGGCCTGGGGTCTCGTCAGCAGGTGGCAGACCTGTCTGATGCCTGGGTCTGTGGATTGGCCTGACCCTAGACCCATGGGGCAACCCTACTGATTGTGTGTGTGGGTAGCCTAGGGCCTGAGTCAGTAGGTGGTGAGCCTGGTGCCTGAGTCCACAAGGCTGCCGAGTATTCATGGCCATACCAGGTTCTGGGATGGACTTAGAGCCTGAGTCATGAAGCCTGGCCTGGCACCAGGGGAGACCTGCAGCTTGGGATCATTGCAATGAACTGGAGCCCATGTCCATGGGGTGAGCCTGGAGCCTGAGTATGAAAGGATGGTCTTAGAACCTGGGCCCATGGGGTCTGACCTGGCACCAACATCTATATCGGGGTGGGCCTGGGCCCTCGGTCTGCTGGAGCAGCTCTGAGCCCTGGGTCCCATGGAGCCTGAGGCCACAGAGACTGGCCCAGAGCCTGTAGCTACCCTAATGTTGGGCCTGGCATTGGTGCCTGCAGCCTCTGGCCTGACCTGGACCCTGTGTCTACTCATCTGAGTGTACAAGTGCTGGCCCAGAGGCCGAGACCACGAGGGCTAACCTGGCACCTGGGAGATGGGCTGGTCTGGGAGCCTGGGTCTGAGGGCCTGGTCTAGAGCTGTGGTTTTGGATTCTGTGGTGCCCACCTGGTGTCTTGAGCAGAGGGCCTGGCTTATGGCTGGGTGGGCCTGAACCTTCTATTCACTGAGGTTTTCCTGGGCACAGGGTCCAGGTGCTGGCAGATGACTAAGCCTATGGGGCTCTCCCTCCGTGGCACTGGGTATGTGCCAGAGCCGGTGGGCTCCTGGAGCCAACCCCGGGCCCACAGCAAGCCTAGCCCTAGTTGTGCATGCTGGCCTGGTGCTGAACTGGGTTACAAGTCCAGAGCCACTGAGACCCATCAGGCACTAGAACTAGTCCAGAGCCCAGGGCAACTGGAGTCTACCGAATGGCACAAAGACTGGATCCCCTATGCACGGCTGCAGGGTCGGCTGGCAATAGGAGCGACCTGGAGGTTCTGACAGCCCCAAGCTCAAGGCTGCAGGGCTGGTGCAGGGTGGGGCTGCAGACCGTCTCTGCTGAAAGCAACACGGTCCAAGAGTGCTGCAGGGTCAGCCCAGAGCAGTGCGCAGCGCTGGGTGGCCCAGCCACGAAGTCTGCCTGCAAAGCCTGAGGCCACAGCTGAGCCAGAGGAGGCCCAAAGCCTTTACGCGTGGTACTGGGGCTGCAGTGTCTGTCTGAGACCAGGTTTTGCTGGGGCCTGCCTGGCTCAGGCTGAGGTGCAGACTGGCACTCTCTCACCCACACAGGCTGTTTCTCCACACCGTGCTGCCAGGGTCGGGAGGGATGATGGCATAATGTAAGACCTTCCTTCCTGCAGCTGCAGCGTGTCGTTCTGCTCTCTGTGCTATGCTTCATTGCTGGAATCTCCCTCTTGGTATTGTAAGATTCTGTGAGGTACACTTGAGTGGGAATGATCTCTCAGGGTTATGTGTCAGCGGGCAACCAGGACTGGTGAGGACTGCTTTGGAGGACTGTCTTGGTCACTTTCTCTCGTTGCTGAAACCAAATATCTGACACCTAGAATTAAGGAAGGAAAGGTTTATTTAGCTCATGGTTTGTGGAGGTTTCAGTCCATACTCGGCTGGCTCCAAGGTAGAGTGGCACATGGCAGAGGGCGAACGTTCTTGGCGGCGTAAGACAGCAAAAGCAGCAAGAGCAAAAGGGAGGAGTAGCAAGAGTGAGCAAGCCTCTTTCCCTCCCTTATATCGTATGCAGGCTGACCACTCCAGAGTGGGTGTAGCACGCACACCCATAATCCCAGCAATGGACTGTGGATCCAGCAAAAATCCTAGAAGCTGCCCCCACGACTGCATGAGGCTTTGGGGAACATCTAGGCACAAACCACCGCAGGGACCCTCCCTCGCTCCCTTGGGATGAGCGGACTCAGCGTCTCTTTCCTTCCTCCTCACCAGCGTGGTGTCTTATCCATCCAACACCAGTTCACAGCATATCAGGAGCACTAGGGTGGTTTCTAGGTTGAAGAAATCCCGAAATGCTCCAAAAATGGGGCAGTGGAAGAAACATTTTTCAAGAATTCCCCTTTAAATCTCTGCCGTGCACCGCATAAGGGATCGAGGAAGGAATGAGTTCTTAAGAGCATAACTGCCCTTTTAGACAATAAAAGACTTTCCTGCCATTAGTTCCGTATGGGAAGACATATTCTTCTTTCCCATAACTAGAGTTGAAACAGGCATTGGATTCCACATCGATTTCTAGAGGCCACATTTCTTTGGCTGTTTTTACACACAAAACGGACAGCTCGAAGCTCACACAGCCAAGCAGCTGTGCGCCGGCCCTAGGCCCTGTCTGCTCTGCGAGCAGAGGTTCACTTTGTCCCACTAGGAAAACAACACTTCCGGCACAGGGACGCACAGCCCTGTCATTAAGGCCTCGCGTTTCCTCTGCAGTTCTTCTACTCCGAAACCCTCCTCAACTCACATTGATAAGTCAGGGTTCTGAGTAACTCAGATATTTTGCACATTCTCCATTGCAATAAAAGTTAGGTCAAACAATTGGAGAACCAATGAGAATGGCACTTCACAAAGTTCCCTGAGCTCTCTTACGGGTCTAGATCAGGAACAGGAGTCCCGCCAGGGCCTGTGCTGAGGAGGGGCTTTGGGGAGATGACTGACAGCAGGTGGGGCCTGCTTGGGAGAGGAGGCTCCTGGAGGTGACCCGGAAGGATTTCTCTCCCTCCTGGGCTCCCGGCTTCTCTCTGTTCCCGGCCACCATGAGTGGGCAGCTGTCCTCATGGATGTCCCTGTGCCGTGGTGCTCTTCCATGGGGCCAGCCGGCCGTGGACTGTAACCTTGAGGGCAAGTAAACCTCTCCCCTTTAAATTGTGGGTGTCCAATCTGGTGTCTCTTGATGAGGAAAGTGACTGAGATACTGTTCTTGGATAGCTCTTTGCTCCTTATTGTGAGGTTTTGGCGCGAGTAAAAAAAAAAAAAAGTTAAAAATACCTTTATTGCAGGCACAGCAAGGCTGTAGAGAGGGAGACAGATGGAAGGACCTCCGGAGGGCCAGGTGAGGAGAACAATGGCTACAAAGGGCCAGGCTGGGGGTGGGCTTTGCTGCCTGCGTGACGTGGCAGATGGTGATTGGGCAGGGGGCGGGAGAAAGGAAACGGTGTTGTAAAACGGAAGTAGGAAGTTGTAACCTGGCGGGGAAGGAGAAGGGCGGGGCTTGGCACATGGCTGTCTTGGCTCATCAAGATACCTTGCCACATTGGCTCATCTCCATGGTGACCAGGTAGAATTTTTAATTTGGGCAGAAACCCATCACTTCACACCTCTCATCCTGAACCCTGCTCCGGTAGGTTGTCCTTTCTTACCTTCTCCTTTCCACACCCTTCAGTGCTCCTATCCTGCTCTTCCACACCGAATGTGCCTTATATACTTTATCAGCAGTTCAAGTGGAACAGGAAAGGTTACAGAAAATGGAAAATGGACATAGATGATTTTCTCAGAGATAAAGCACCTCTAAGTGCTTGCCGTGATTTTTCCTTGTTAAATAGGTTGAAATGACCACATAACTCAGGGAATAATTTTGAACTGAATTTGAAACTTAACCTTCCTCCTGCCAAAATCACTTCCTTGCTTCTCTTCTCTTCTTCTCTTCCCCTCCCCTCCCCTCTTCTCTCCTCTTCATCCCCTCTCTTCTCCCTCCCCTCCTCTCCTCTCCCCTGTCGCTCCCCCTCTCCCCTCCCCCTCCTCTCCCCCTCCCCTTCCCTCTCCTCTTCCTCCCTTCCTCCTTTTATTCTTCTTCCTTTCTCCTCTTTTCCTCTCTCTCTTCTGCCCTCATCTCTCCTTGCTCACCTTTGAGTATAGCTTCCTCTCCTCCACATCTTAGGATTCACAAAACCCCGGCCACCTCCATGAAGGGAAACATTTTAAAGTCCCTTATATTATAGGTAGAACAGTGTGTCCCATTCAGTAGAGTATATCTCATTCATTTTACAGTGTAAATCTGGCATAATGACATTTTTCAATATTTAATTTCCTTAGGCTGAGTGTCATTCCTTAGGTTCAAATAGTGAAAGTGAAGAAAAATTAAAGACATATTAAAGCACATTTTATCAACTCCTTGCAAATTCAAATTTTACAGTTAAAAAAACAATACAAAACAGCTGGTATATTTTATACTTTCATTCTTCTGCAGCCCCAGAATGCATCAGTACATTCCTTCTACTCATTTGATAAGTAAATTATATTTGACAACAAGTACTAATTCTCTAACTCAAGGTTTCCCCAGTTTGAAACGTTGGCACAATCCTTAGCAACTCTATTGCTAATAGCACCGTAGCCATCATCCTCCTCGTTTTCTGAACCATGAGCTGTTTTTATCAGGTGATATTCTCCCAGAGGACCCCTAGTGCAGGGTTCTCTTCCATGGGGGTAGCATCACCACCTACACACACGCTGGTGTGCAGCTGGGCTACCCCAAACTGCGGGAGAAAGAAGAGACCTTTGTCTCCCACTGGGACCCCACGCCCCATTCAGGAGGCCCTGCTCCCCCGCAGGCCACGGAGTGCTTGCTGGTGCTTGGCTCCCCCGGGTCTGGCAGTCAGGCTTCCTGCACTGCGCAGGTCGGTTCTCCCAGGCCTTTCCCTCCGTACTTTCTGAAAGTCACAGTTTCTTTTGTTTCTGCAGCCTTAGGCTGTGCTGAAGCTGGTGTCCTGGCTCTAAAATAGATCTTTTATAGAAAGGGACAGAGGAGAGATGGAGAGGAGTGGAGGGCCGAGGGGGAGAGGATGACGGAGAAGTGAAGACAAGATCTGTGCACGCACCACTCCACGCGAGAATGCCGTCATGCACTGCAGACACGTGCTGAGAAAAATATTAAAAGTAAAATAAATATGATACAATACACATAAAATTCCTAAAAATAGATTTCAAGCCGCTTTCTCAACCTCCTTCCTAAAAGTTTTTTTCACTTCAAATGAGCAAGGAAAGATAGTCAATGTGTTGTCTGGACTGTTCCACTGGATATTTACCAGAACTCCTTAGGTTGCTGACTAATAACTACGTTGCTCATATCTGAGGCCCTTTCAAGAGCCTAAAACCTGCATCTGAGGGCACGTGTCCCAGTTTATGTGTAGCAGCTCTTTCCTTTAGCCGCTTGTTACCTTCCTTATGGGTGCCGGGCAGTGGGGGAGCGTTAGGGGAGGTGCTCCCAAGGCACAGAACAGCTACTGGGCCTTTCTTGCTGCACTGCGAAATTCAAGCACCTCTCCCACCCAGGGGCCCTGATTTTCTTACGTTTTCAATTTGGGATTGCGCCGACTGTGAAAGGCTATTATAAGAATTAAATGAGTTGATACAGGAAAAGGAGGTAGAAGATTGCTTTGGAGATAAGTCACTTTACACGCTTAGCACCATTTATTCTTGTTAAATGGGTTGAAATGACCACATAAGCTCAGAACTACTTTTTAAAGTCTAAAAGCATTTGCATTAAAAAGCATAAACTCTGCCTTTTTCCAAGAAAGAGAAAAGTCCACTCTATTTTTCCCAGCCTTCGTCCATCCATTGCACAAAGGTGCACACTCGCTCCAGCGCCCTGCACTCAGTCCCGGGGTACGTAGTGAAAGAAGTGAAGCCCAAGGAGCGTTCATTCTGAGAAAAGAGGAGCCTGAGTGAACGAGAGACTATGATGTCGTCAAGCAGTACTAGAGCTGCTCGTAAAATAAAATAAGTGATTGAATAAATGGCCTTAGACAGAAGCGGGGGACGTATGTTCCATGAGGGAGGTGGACGCCGAGAGCTGCTGGGGTTATGCACAGAGTTGAGCACCTTCCGCAGGGGAAAGCGGGTGTCCTGGAAGCACTATGCCTGGAGTGGCTGGGACCAGAGCTCTGGAGACGAGGTCAGAGACGTAATCCAAAACTGGGTGTGGCCCGGTATGGTTACAGCTGTAATCCTAACACTCGGGAGACCAAAGCAGGAGGATCGTTGTGAGTTTGAGGCCAAACTGGACTACATAGTGAGCTCAAGGCTACCCTGAACTACATAGTGAGACCCTGTCTCAGAAAACAAAACATAGCTAGGTAAAGTACAGCCTCATCTTGACCTTGAGTTTGCTGGTCAAGTTTAGATTGTGTTCTAAAAGAGATAGGAAGCCATTAGCAAGTTGGCCTGAGGTCAGGTGTGATTTGATTTTAAATCTGTGTGATCACCCTGGTGGCCAGGTGAAGCCGCAGAAGGCAGCAGAGCGCTGAGCCCCGGCTGGCCAGAGGGGGAGTAGAGAGGGGGCTCTGACAGATTGGAGTGTAGGGGAAGGGCAGCATGGATGGGGCAAGGATCAAGAATACACCTCAGGCACCAAGAGAAACACTTTTGAGTCCTTAGTAGGAAAGTGAATGTCTCATGGGACCTTAATGCTAAGTGAAATAAATCTGACACATTAGGATAAATACGAACCCAAAATGTAAATAATTTTAACTGTCAAATAAAGGGAGAGGAGGAGACAGGGAAGTAGACTTTTTGCGGGTGGGGAAGGGATGGGGAGAGGTTGAAAGGACGGTGGGGAAAGGGGACCAAGAAAGACCAAGAACATACACAACCCCAGAGCAGATGCCCTTATCCTATGTTGCAAACATATACCAATAAAAAAGAGAATGACTCTTGATTTTGGCTTGAGAAACTAAATGGTTGCTGATTTACTAAGTCATCAAAGGAGTAGAAAATCAGTTGTTTCTTCTTGCCGTTTCCTGCAGCAGCTCTGGAGTCATCTTAATGAGCATCTTCAGTTGTGCGGCCATGGCTGCCTCCGTGTCCTGAGTTGATTCAAAAAGGTGACTCTTCCTGGTCAGTTTGACCTTGGGGAGGAGCTGGACGCTGCACAGCGTCAGACCCAGTGATTAAGGCAGATGAGGATGCACTGTGATGTTTCTGGGAGCTGCCTTTCCACTGGGTGGCTTTCAGCAGCAGCATTCACTGTGTTTTTCATCACACCTTATGAGATAAGACAGATAGGATAAGTGTGTTTAAAGCTAGTGGCGTATTTTGTGGGGATTAATGGCAATGTGTCTTTTGCCACAACACTTTTTAAACTTTAAGCACACACGGTATTTTTCAGTTCTACCTCATACTTTGTTCTGAACACAAAGTAAACTTAAAGAAATTTGGGATAAATTCAATTGTGCTGACAATGGTAGCAGCCAAAGCAGGTGCCCAATGGGCTACCAAAGCCTAGAATCAATGTGCAGTTGTTTATACCATTTCTTCAACATTCAATATGCACACCCCAAATCAGTAATTCTTCTGTTCAGGGTTTTTGACAAAAGGTGCAATCAATTTGGGTTTAATTCTTGTTTTGAAAATGTGAGTGCAGCTGACAGAATAGAAAACAATCTGAGGATGGTTCAAGTTCTGTATGTGCTTATGCACCATTTGCCTAGGAGCTGCAGGAGAAAAATACAGAGAGCTGTGTGCGATTGAGTGAAGCCACACAAGAATACACAGCACGCGTGTGCGCACGCACACAAACACATGCACGCGCACACCCAGGAGTCCATGGGTCTGGCTTCTCAGCTCACCGGCCTGTGTCATGCGCCACACCCACCTGACCTCAGAGGACAGCGTCCACCGTCACAGCCCCCCACACCTGCTGTCCTTCTGTGTCTGCCTCCACACACGAACTTTGTTTTAGGGTAAAATGCCATATTTATTGTCATATTTATATTTTCCTAGCCATGCCATGGAGATAAAACAGTATTAGTGGGTTTTTATGTGTTAAAGTCTTCGAGTGTTGCGCCCCTAATGTACCAGCCCTGCAACACAGGCCACACAGTTGCTAAGCTGACTGCATGTGTAGGAAATGTAAATCCACCGCCTTTCTGGGCTAAGTTTCTAAAGCTAGGCAAACATTTGGGATCATTAGGGTGAGTAGAGAAATCTATAGTTTTTCTGAATCTTCAAATATGATGATAGCAATGCTTATGAGAAGGACTCTATAAACAAGAAAATCATAACTTTGTGATTAGATGCTCTGCACATCATTCAGAAATGATATTGTTCAGAAATAACCATATTTCACTTAGAAATATGGTCA